CCCTTCGCAAGTACTTGAATATGATTATATTCTTATTTTTTCTTTAACCCTCGGATGACGTTTTTGGACCCAGCTGGACCTACATAATACCATTTTTTATTTCCTGCTATGCTATAACGTCCCCTTTTCCGAGCGATCTCTTTTCTAAGCTTAGCTCTGAGAATTAGAAAAGAAATCGCTTAGAAAAGGATACATATTAACGTAGCAGGGAACGAAAAAATGGTATTATGTGGATCCAGCTGGACCCACAAAAACTATCCGAGGATTAAATATTTATCTAAATAATAAAAACAAAAATAGATTTACAGAAACATTAGTTGGTATTCGAAAACGTCATGCTGATGTTGTATCAACATTAGCTCAAGTAAATTCATTATTTTATTATTTATTTTCTTATCAATTTCTAATATATATTTTTTAGGCATATATGGAATTTGAAAAAGTTAGTTTAGTTAGTTTAATAGAAAAAAATCGAATACAATATTTCTACGATCGATTTTTTATGAATCGGATTGGTATAAGAACATTACTTTATCAACATAGTACGTTCATATTCATTGAATATCAAATATTGAAATATATTTCTTATTAAGCTCTTCTATTTGGTGATGAACTTCCTGAACATTCACAACAAGCAGGTATTATTGATCCATGTGTCGATGTAGTTGCTGTTATTGGAGGTAAAATTTATTTTTTGTTTTCTTATACTTAATAAAAGAAAAACCTTGATTCTTTTTTTGAGTTCGTATTTATAGAAATTTCAATCTTCGCTCATGCTGTTATTTTTATTAGATAGTTATTTTAGTCTCGAATGATCTGGATAAAAAAAGGATCGAAAAAGACGTTTTTTTTTCGATACCTTTATATATTAATTAAGGTACATCACATGTAGATTTTCTTCCTTCTGTTTAAAAATGGATCATCAATAGGTATAACTATGTAGGAAAAAGAAAACATGCGTGTTTTTCCTACTGTAAGAGCAAAGAAAAAACAAAAATGCTTGATAAATAGGAGACGTACTGAGGTGTTTTTTTCATTCTATTTTTTCGAAAGCATCATATGAACTTTATATTTTGAAGCGGATGACTAATTTACGACGGTTGTTTTTTCATATGTTATATATAGATGCTTATTCAACAGCAAAGTATTTATTTGAACACGCATGTTATCCAGTACCTAAAGTTGAAATCGAATCTTATAATGGTAAATAGGAAAAAAGAAAAATTTTCATTATTGCTAATTTATATATATATAAATATTTATTTTAAGTAAAAGATCATAGTACAAATCCTGTAACAATTGTTTATATTCCATCACATATTTATCATATTGTTTTTGAATTATTAAAAGTAAATTTTTGTTCTAATTTAAATTTAAATTAATAAAAAATTTTTATTATAAATTAGAATTCACTTCGTGCAACTGTTGAACGATATGGTTTAGATGCTAAAGAATATCCACCTGTACGTATAATTATTGTTAAAGGTCATGAAGATTTAACAATACAAATTAATGATCGTGGTGGTAAGATATATCATATATGATATTATATATAATCTAATTAGATATTTATTCCGAAAGTTTTATTTCAATTAGAAGAGAATAAGTTATTGAGATTTTATCAATTGGTTTTTCTGGTCATTAGTTTGTGGTAGGTGATTGAAATGAAGTTTGGATTTGCATAAAAGTGTAATTCTCATATATTAACATCATAAGTCAAACACTTTGAACCATATATTGATATTGATAATCAATTGATAATATAATACATAATCACTATTGATTTTCAATATTATTAGAGAATATGTAACACATTCAGCCGTTTGAAAAATAAATTAAATAAACAACTAACTACAATAGTATTAATTTTGTTTTCTTCTCTTTGTGTATTTTATATTAATTAATTATTTGCCAACAGCAGAAGTCTAAACTTATTGACTTTTCGTAAGTCTAATTAACACATGAAAGATTCTGAGTGAACATCTACAGCCTACTTGACGTATTCGATGTATTGTCATTTTACGTATTAATATGATAATAATACTTGCATGGAATGAGAATAGTACTATGATAAGAACGCAAGAATATCATATAAATCGAAATGAGATGATTAGATGAAAAATCTATTAGTTTAATATTTCATATATTTGTAGGAAAAAGATAAATACGAAAAGTAAACAATTAAAAAAAAGTCTATTTTTGATTGAGAATGTTTTTATTATATTTGACGACTTAGTTAAACAAAACAAATCAAGATCAAATAGTAAATAACAATAATAAACGATTAACAATGGAGAGAAGTAACTTACGAGCGAACTCTCTAAAACTAATACTCGCCAGTTGAGCTCATATTGAGCTCATAATGGTGCCTTGATGATACTAAAAAAAGCCTAAAGTAATATTTTTATGGACTTTTAGAGCTGAGTTATGATCATGTTGTTGAATTTTCGGTCTGAAATTTTGCCCATATATAGATCGAATGATTCGTAGAATATTCTGAAAGTTTGAGCAGAAAATAACGGTTGCTTTTGTTAAGATATGGAATTTAAAGTAAACTCTGTTTTTGTATCATGCCTGTGACAAACAATTATCTTTTGGAAATTCGATATCTTGACAAAAGAACATGTTTTCTTTTCGGGCTGAAACTTTAAGAACATTCTGTAGGTCATTTGACCTATATATAGACAAAGCTTCACGTTGAAATTCTGTTTTTTTTTATTTTTCTGTAAATTCAGTAAAACGATCCTAATTCGACTTCAAAAGTTCATGGAGACGAACTATTTTAGACTTTTTCTAGTCTTACAGAGACTTCCTTGTCGACTCAATATGAGGTCAAAGAGCGGGTATTAGTTTGGGTGTTTCCTTCATAAACGACACAAATAGATAACTAATGACCAATGCATTCATCATGTATATTGAGTTAAGGTTACACCTAGTCAAAAGGGTATGACGTCATTATAAACTTTTCATCATCAAAGATATTCCATTCGTCCTTGTAATAGTTACATTTTCTACTCACGAAAGGAGATTTTGTCTTTGAATTCAAAGGAAATAACGGCCAGATAGTCTGTCTAGTCTGTGATAGACTCTACCATCATAGTCTATGCTTGTCTCAAACAAAAAAAAAAACGCTCAAATATTTTGTTTGACCTTTTCATATGTCATGTATGATAATTATTTTTTTTACTCCGAAACACTGATCGAATTATTAAAGACGAGATGTCTCAATACGAAAAATACCTAGGAAGGAAAAGATTCGCTAACACATGAATAATATTTTCTTTTTTGTGCACTATCTAAACACATTCATTCATTAGCAACTACCTACGAATAATAATTAAATTTTTTTAAGAAAATGATCGAAGATCTAGAAGAATTTTTCTAAAAAAGAAAGAAAATCTACAATTCTTTAATATAAAGATCCATCTCTGTTAACAACTATACACAAAGTTGTTATCCAGTTATCAATGCTTTTTTTTCTTCCAGCCAGAACCTATTCCTTCCTCGTTTCTTCCGCTACCCTTGTTTTATTTCTCCTGCTAAACATGCTATGAATCATTCCATCTGCAAGAGAACATCTACTTCTACCCTTCTTTTTTCTACTTTCCAAAACAGATGTACATATTCTAATCTATTCTATACGTAAAAAATCAACCATTATATATATATATTCTAGGTGGTATATCACGTTCAAAATTATCACAATTATTTCATTATATGTATTCTACAGCACCTAAATATCTAGTAGATGGAACTGAAAATAGTAAAAAGAAGCCGTCTATTGCTGGTCTTGGTTATGGTTTACCAATAGCACGTCTTTATGCACAATATTTCCAAGGAAATCTTAAATTAGCATCAATTGAAAATTATGGTACATCAGCTTATGTATCCCTTCAAGTAAAATACAAAAAAAAAACAAATTTATTTTTAAAAAGAAATCTAAATATTTATTTTATTTTTATTTTATTTATTAGGCAACAGCAGAAAATGCCAGGTAAACATATGAATTTTTACGAAAAAAAATAAAAAAATAAATTTCTTTATATTTTAGTGAACGTTTACCAATATTTTGTAAATCCCGATATTCATACACAACAAAAAAAGGTTCTGATTGGACTTAGATGTTAAAAAAATTCATCAACTTCATTTTTATCATACGTTGTGTATATATTCTGACGAACAAAAGTTTAGAGCAGTTGTATTTTTAAGTTTTCTTCTCGATGTTAATCACTAGCAAGAATCTAAAAAAAACCATTTGTGTAACTGAAAGGATTCTCTATTAGGATTATTAGGTCCGAAGACTTCAACAAAACTACTTGAATGAGGGTCTGTGGAAAATCAAGATCCGCAAAAACAGCTTTCTGGCTTCCATTCGAAGTCTTTGAGAATAGATTTCATTTGATAGAGCAAAATGATACGTTTCCTATATCTTCATGACCTTCCTTCACTTTACAGAAGGTCTAAGAAGCATTTTTCTCTTCGTTTCATTGAAAATTCCAATATTTTAGCTATGTTTAAAACTTTTGAGTCTTCTGTAAATTGAATGCAGCTCAATGAAAGAAGGTCGTAGAAAGATAGAAAATGTTTCATCTTGCTCAAAATTATTTGTTCTATCAAATCAAATCTTTCCCCAATAAGTTCGAATGTAGGTCAGAAAGCTAATTTTGAGAACTTTAGTTTTTTGCCGGCCCTTATCGAAGTAGTTTCGCTGAAGTCTTCGAACCCTACCAATCCTAGTAGAGAGTCTTTTCAGCTATACAAATGTTTTTCTCCAGATTCTTGCTAGCTATTATTATTGAGAAGAAAATTTAAAAATATAATTGCTATAAACTTTTTGTTCACCACTATATATAAATCTATCGGCATATTTTTCTGTCTGAACTAAATTTCAGATTAAAAAAAAGAACAAAATTTCTCAATGACGACGTTAATTAAATTAATCTGTAAAAATTTGAATGAAATTTGATTCGAAAAGAAAAAAAACAAAAGAAAATTAAAGAATGCATCTAACTCGGTTATTACGTACACAACAAGCTTCTTTAAAGCATCTTATTGATTATTATGCTAAATATCCACCAACCGGTTTAACAATGAAAAAAATTGTTGAATTTGGTGTGTTTAATTTTGTTGTCTTTTTTTTATTTGAATTTTATATATTTGTTTGTTTTTTAATAAATAGCGCGTGAAGGAGATGCAAAACAATCATATTTATTTCTTCGAAATGAATTACCTGTTCGACTTGCATCAATGATGAAAGAAATGGGACATTTACCACCACGTCTTCTTGAAATGCCAAGTGTTAAAACAGTTAATAGTTGGTATGGAACTAGTTTACATGAATTAGATTCATTTAGACATGCACCAACAACTAATGAAACTGTTAAAAAGTAAAAAAAGAAAACATTTTTTGATTGCATATGTCGTTTTTAAAATTTGTAGATTTACAGAAGTTTTACAAAATATACGTAAAAGACATACAACTGTTATTGAAACAGTAGCACAAGTAACAGCTTTTTAAATGTTTTTATTCGATGATGATTTGTTTTTTTTTGTTTCTTGTCTACTAGGGTTATATGGAATTTTCTGAGTTGGGTCACGTTAAAGAATATGAAGAATCACAAATACAATATTTTCTTAATCGATTTTATTTATCTCGAATATCAATTCGATTACTTATTTATCAGCATAGTATGTTTAATTCAAAAACAAAGAAAAAATTTAGTTTTTATAATATCAAAAATTTTAAATTATAGAATCTGTCAATATTAGCTGATATATTATTTTTTCTATTATTAATTTCTATTAGTTCTATGCGGGAACTACCAAAACTGTTGTCTACTGTTTGAGTTCATATTGGGCTCTAAAAGAGATCTCGGCAGAACAAGAAAAGTTCTAAAAGAGTTCATACCTATTTGAGTTTTCGATCTAGTTTTAGGTATTTACGGAAAAATCAAATATTGGTATTCCGATCTGATGACTCTAGAAATATTCTGAAAGTTTCAGTCGCAAAAGAGTGTCTTATTGTCGAAATATTGAATTTTCAAAAAAGGGTCATTTGCCACAAAAATCGAATTTACTTGAAAATTCAATATCCGGACAAAGGCATATTGTTTTTGGCTGAAACTTTTAGAATATTCCTTAAGTTATCAGATATCAATAGGTGAAATTTCAAGTCAAAATGTCATTATTAGATTTTCCAATAAATATCTAAAGCTGAATCGACGATTCAGTAAAACATTCATATCGTAGTTCGAGAGATTCATAGGCACGAACCCTTTTAGGACTTTTCTATTCTTACCAAAATCTTCTTGTAAATCCAATTTAAGCGCAAACAATGGGTACCAGTTCGAGTAGCTTCCTCATTCATTTTATGGTGAGAAAAATCTAACAATTTGAGATTTATGTGAGATTAATTTTCTATGAATTTACACTTTTCTCTAACAATTAAAATTCCATGCAGATAAAAATTTATAGAACTGAACCGATATTAGAGCCAGTCGGGTTTGGCATCAACAAAACAGATAATACTCTAAACGTATCAGCTAATTATGACTTGATTACTATAAAGTCATTGTCAAGATTGTCTGAGAAATGTGTAGAAATTGGCTCACATCTCTTGTTTTTTTTTTCTTTCAAAATAATAATAGTAAGAGGAATATATCCATAGAATAAAATGTGTTTAGTTGGAAGACATATGAATAAATAATTTTTACAAGCCAAAAAAAAATGATTTATGTTTTACAACAGTATAATATTTCTGAAAGGAAAATATTTTGTATTTTGTATAATTTATTTCATTTCTTTAAATTAGCAATGTGTTTTGGTGATGAAGTACCTTTACATCCTACGCATCTTGGTTTTGTTGATCCTAGTTGTTTGGTTGAAGACATAATCAAAGGTAATATTAATTAAATAAACAATCAGTGGCGTACGCAGGGGATGACCGAGGAGGCCCGGGCCTCCCCCTTGAAGAAAAGTTCCCTGTGGAGGAGTACGGGTAAAAAAAGTACTACGGTACAAATTTTTGAAAAACTTCATTACGGGCCCCCTCGTTGAGAACTTGAGCTCCTCCCTTGGAAAATTTCTGCGTACGACACTGTAAACAATAAAAATTTCTATTGAAATTTTATTTATTTTAGATGCATTTGAAAATGCTCAATTTTTATGTGAAGGTTATTATTTACAAGCACCTCCATTAGAACTTCGTAGAACAAATGGTAATTATTTTGATAGTTTAAATTAGATTCTTCATTTTTATTTTTTTTTATTTGTAGCAATAAATCCCGACGAACCAATTGCAATAGCTTATGTACCATCACATCTATATCATATTATGTTTGAATTATTTAAAGTTAGTTCAAAGAAAAAACAAAGGATTCTTTTTCGAAAAAGATAATTTATTTTATTATAGAATTCAATGCGTGCAACTATAGAACATTTAGAAAGTACAAAATCTAGTAGTGTATTACCTCCAGTTGTGGTTCGTTTTTTTTAGGAAATAATTTAAATTGATTTATTAAAATTAACATATAGGTTGATGTTGTAAAAGCAAAAGAAGATTTAACGATTCGTATTAGGTAATAAGAATGTGATAATTGTCATCTTTGTATGATCATCATTAAATAGTGATCGTGGTGGTGGTATTCCACGTTCAAAGGCAGATAAAATCTTTCGATATATGTATTCAACTGCACCAAGACCTGTATCATTAACTGATGCTCAACATTCAGGTCCAACACCACTTGCTGGTTTTGGTTATGGTCTTCCCATTGTAAGCTTTACAGTACTGATAAAAAAAAAACAATATATATGATCAATGTATTTTTGATTGCTTTTTGTTCTACAAAACCAAGCATTTAACTCAAATCCAAACAGTGATTTGAAGAGCTAATGAAGTTCGCTATCAAATGCATACCATACCGAAATTTCATAGATGAACTAAGAAGAATAATCTTGCCTTTTGGCTACCTTGTGGTATGAGATTCTGTTTAGCGGCAGATTTAATATTTTCGGATATCGTTCCTACAATTAATAGTAGCTGTAGCTATCGACAGAAGGTCGGTCTGACGTATAATTTTTGCGCTGAATTGCTTGAACTTATCATACACATTTACTAACTACATACTAGTCATAAGAGTAGGTATATTAGATGGACTATGATAGGCAGATTTTTGAAAAATCAAACATGATACTTTTCAAATCTCAGAAGACTTTACATAAAATTAATTTTTAAAGAGTACCACCTTAAAAAGCATAAAATCTTGAGGAAAATAATGTATTGCCACTTCTTCTACGACCTCCCTTTAAAAAGTTGTAAATAT